ATGCTCAACATCACTAATCATTAGAGAAATGCAAATCAAAACTACAATAAGGTATCACCTCACACCTGTCAGAACGGCCATCATCAAAAAATCTACAAACAATATATGCTGGAGAGGGTGTGGAGAAAAGGGAACCCTCTTGCACTGTTGGTGGGAATGTAAATTGGTATAGCCACTATGGAGAACAGTATGGAGGTTCCTTAAAAAACTAAAAATAGAATTACCATATGACCCAGCTATCCTACTACTGGGCATATAACTGGAGGAAACCATAATTCAAAAAGAGTCATGTACCGCAATGTTCACTGCAGCACTATTTACAATAGCCAGGACATGGAAGCAATGTCAGTGTCCATCGACAGATGAATGGATAAAGAAGATGTGGCACATATATACAATGGAATATTACTGAGCCATAAAAAGAAACGAAATTGAGTTATTTGTGTGAGGTGGGTGGACCTAGAGTCTGTCATACAGCGTGAAGTAAGTCAGAAAGAGAAAAACAAATACCATATTCTAACACATATATATGGAATCTAAAAGAAAAAAATGGTTCTGAAGAACCTAGGGGCAGGACACGGATAAAGACGCAGACATGCAGAACGGACTTGAGGACACGGGGAGGGGGAAGGGTCAGCTGGGACGAAGTGAGAGAGTGGTGTGGACATATATACACTACCAAATGTAAAATAGCTAGCTAGTGGGAAGCAGCCGCATAGCACAGGGAGATCAGCTCAGTGCTTTGTGACCACCTAGAGGAGTGGGGTAGGGAGGGTGGGAGGGAGACTCAGGAGGGAGGGGATATGGGGATATATGTATACGTATTGCTGATTCACTTTGTTATACAGCAGAAACTAACACGACATTGTAAAGCAATTATCCTCCCATAAAGATGTTAAAAACAAAACAAAACAGTGCATATGGGAAACAGATCCCCCAGGCCAGACCGTTGGCCAGGAATGTCATCTTCCTGATACTTCTGTTTTGGTGTCTTGCTATCTGGCCTGAATTTCAGAAGCACAGCTCTAAAAGGGTTCTGAAAAATTTTGCCTCCAAGGTGTACCTTCACATAAAATTCAACATGGTTAAAATGTAACCCATTTTCGTCACCATTTCTGTCATAAGTTTGCCTGCTTATTGGTCGCACTGAGACTTACAATAGTAGAGAAATTCTTGATACTTTTCTCACCGTTTTCTTCTCCTCATCCTTCACTGGGCGTGGGGCAATTGTTCCTTGCGTCGTTTGTATATATGCCTCCATTTCCAGTCCCCAACCCCCATCACCACCACATTCAGGTCTTCCCCTAATATCCTATGAGGTCTCCATGCTGTGGACTAAAAACAAAATGCACAACCTAAAAGTTGAGAATTATATTTTATTTGGTTGACTTAACAGAGGAGTTAAGCCAGGGATACAGTCTCTCAGATAGCTCTGAGGGACTGTTCCAAAGAGGTAAGCAAAGAGCCAGCATATATATGAGTTTTTGGAAAAAAACATAAAACAGGTGGTCAAACATCAAAAGATTACTGCTAATTAAAGAAATAGACATCTCAATTTAATGGATTTAGCATTTTTTCTATGCACGGGAAGATGCAGGAGTCTGGGCTTATTGAAATCATTCCTTTGATATGCATCTTCACTGTCTAGTGCCAGTATCCTATTCTTTCCAATTTTGAGCCCCCTCAGGGTACACCTCTGGGTGCGGCTGCAGTAGCTGACAGCTTGGTGGTGGCAACATCCTTTGTTTACCGATATGGCAGGTGACATTCTTTGTCCACAATGTCTTTACTCCTGTCTGTTCCCTAATTCTTCCTGTACATAGCCAGATTTATCCATCTAAAAGGTTATATTTTACAGAGTCCTGATGCCTTTGTTTATGCTAGATTCATTCTGCCTGAAGCAGTACCCCCTTTCTTGCACTTGTCTAAACTGTACCCCTTTTCAAGTCCTGCTTCCTTCCTGAAGCCTTTCCTGGTGGCCCTAAGCTTCAGTGATCAATTACTCTTGTCTGAATTTCCGGAGCATTTATTTTCTGTGTCACCTATTTAGCACAAAAAATACTCCCTTGCCTTACCTGTGCCTGATGCTTGCTTCCTTTCTCGCAATACCTGGTAATGGTTGTGCATTAAGAGTTGCCGAGGTTTTTCTTCCCCTAATGTTCAAGACAGAGATTCAAGAGACACTTCAACCCATATAAGCAACAAATAAAAAAAGAAGACCTCACTGTTCCAAATTTCTGAAGTTGATTTGAGGTTTTTATATTTACAAATATTTTTTGAGCAGCTACTCTACGCTTGGCATTATACTGCATGCTGGAGACAGAACAGTGAACAGGACACTAATCAATTCTGCTTTCAAGAAGCACACATTCTGGTAGGAGAACAAGCAATTATAATACTGTGGAGTACATACCACAATAGACGCATAGGACACTATCGGAACACAATGTAATGCTGACCTGGGAGGCCTGAGAAATCATTCCAGAGAAATAGATCCAAAAACTGGAACATGGAGTATGAGTAGGAGCTGCCCAAGCAAAAGTGTGTGTATGTGCAGGGATGGGACTGGGGGCAGAGGAAAGAAGAGGACTCCAGGCGGAAGGGGTGACAAGGTCCTGGAGACTGGCAAACACGGCTCACTGGAAATATGAAAGGAGTTTAATTTGACCAGAACACAGAGTACAAGGCGTGAGATAGCAAGAGATGAGGTTGGAGGGATAACCAGGGCCTATGATAAAATAATAAATACTTGGAAGGGCAGTGAGCAACAAAAAGAAGGTGGGATGACTGGACTCGGTTTGCACTTCAGCAGTGCCACTTTGACTGCAGGGTAGAGAAGAGCCTGAGGGGAGAGAAGAATGAAGGCAGGAAGGCCAGCGGGGCAGCTAACAGGGCAGGTGATCCAGCAAGAAACTGAGGTGCTGACCTGACATTAGCAGTGATGGTAGAAGTGAAGAAAGTGTATACATTTCAGGATGCTTAAGGGATGTGGGTAGTGAGGCTGAGGAAGGTGAGTGGCTGTTAATGTCATTCCTTAAAAAGGAAATCAGGAGGAAAAGCTAGTATAGAGGAGAAGACGATGACGTCAGCATGATTCATGTTTAGCTTGGTTTTCTGCACCTGGACACACCCACGTGGAGACGTCTTGGCAGCTGTGCCATGCAACGGTTCTCAAACTTTTTGGTTGTACAGATTATTGTACACTGTTACAAATTATTGAGGACTTGAAAGAGCTGATGACTATTCATATTTACTATTCAAATTAGAACTGAGAAAATTTTAAACATATGTATTAAACCATCTTAAAACATAATAAACCTATTACTAGTTAGTATAAATGTTTATGAAAATAATTATTTTAAAACAAAAAATTAGTGAAAAAGTGGCACTGTTTTACGTTTTGGAAAATCTCTTTAATGTCTGGCTTAATAGAAAATAGCTGAATTCTAAGATCTGGTTCTGCCTTCAATCTGTTTTGCTATCACACTGTATATAGCCTCTGGAAAACTCCACTGTAGTATCAAAGAACCAGAGTGAAAAAAGTAAACAGCATCTTGAATAACTGTGAACATAGTTTGATCTGTGTTCGTCCCTGAAGGGGATCTCTAGGGATCTGGGGACTACACTTTTAGAATCACTGCCCCAGAGCAGGAGAACTTGACAATATTGTGAGTCTCACTAATAAGCTCTTGATGCCATGGCCAAAAGTAGGCTGGATAGTCTTGATTGAGGTTTCAAGTGCTATTTTGAGAGGTTGAGGTTGCCTGGTTGACATCACCTTCCAAAGTTAGGAATGGAAGAATGTTCATTCAATTAATTCATTTAACAAATATTTATTTAGCACATATTATATGTCAGGAACTACTCTAGACACAGAGGGTAGAACGAACAAAACAAAACAAAATCCTTGCCTTCATGAAGCTTCCCTTTTCTTTGGGGAAGATTAGACAGTGAACAAAGTAGTAGAGTATATATCGGAGGGCAGTAAGTACATGCAGGAAAACAATGGAAAGAGGTATAGGGAATGTTGGAAGGATTTGCAGATTTCGAGTAGTGTGTACAGGGAAGCCTTCATTAAGAAGGAAACATTAGAGCAAAGACCTGAAGGAGGAGAAGGGTATCGGCGGGTGGGATACCATTTGGGTATCTAACACAAGAGCTTTTCTGGGTATTTAAAAAGATTATTTCCTTAATTTATTTTAACTTTTATTAACATGTATTCTTTAATTAAATATCTATTGTATCTGGCATTAGCTGCAGGTAAAAGAAGATAAGATGGGAGGCTAATGTTTATTTAGTGTCTGCCACGTACCAGGCACTTTGTTAGTTACTATACATGAGGTTTGGCGCCCTCACTAAGATTTATAGCTTGCCAAGAAGACAAAGCATGTACATACATTCCTGCAGTTGTGGTGTAGCAGCTCTTATGAGTAACAGCTTGAGTTGCACCACCAGAGATCTGTATGCACCTGATTTATGTGAGGTTTACATCTCTCTGAATATGAAGTGAGGTGTGAAGGGTATTTGTCAAACAGCCAGGAAGTTATTAATACCAGATCACACCTTTTATAGAGCACTTGAGTTTACAAAGTACCGTCAGAAATTAACTCATTTAATCTTCATAATAATTCTAAGACGCCGGTCTTGTTGTTAGAAGTATAATTGTGCCGACTGAGGGGAACAGGCTCAGAAGTCTAGGTAATGCAAAGCGGTTATACGGTGGCTGGGACCTAAAACTAAGATAATCTGCCTTCGCGCACAAGACTGTTACCACTGCAGTGCAGCTGTCTTGAGCAGCTATTGAAATCAAAGAGAACCATACTCCCCTGACTCAGTCCTCTTCCGAGTACGTGCACCAAGAAAGGACGGTTAAATGAGGGTTGGAGAAGGGGAAGAGCCTGCGAACCGGGTGAAATCACACCCGGCGCCCTCCCTCTGCGCTTGCGCAAGGGAGGAGTTGCCCTCCCCGGAAGGACACCTGGGACTTGGGTTTGCGCCGACGCAGAGCTACCTCCAGGCGGAACCCGGGCGTGCGGGGCTCCTGCAACCTAAACACCCGGTGTGAAAGGAAGGTGGCCCCGGCGGGGCGGGGCGCATGCGCGGCAGCTCCCCCTGGGGAAGGGCTGAGAGGCGGAGCGGGGCGGCCAGCTGTGAGCCGAGCGGAGCAGGGTCAGGATGGACGAAGACGTGCTGACCACCCTGAAGATCCTCATCATCGGCGAGAGTGGCGTGGGCAAGTCCAGGTGAGGCGGCTCTGCGAGCCGTGACGAGGGTGACAGGGCCCTTTCCGTCTCGGTGGCCGCTGTCCCCTGGGCCACGGCGGGAACGGTAAACGGCGACGGCCGGGCGCGGCCCGAGCTGGGGCGGCCTCCGCCCGCGGCCTCCGGGCCTTCTCGCTGCGCGGCCCCGCGGCCCCGCCACCCCGCCGCCCGGTCCACGGCCTCTGCCAGGCCCGGCTCCCTGGATCGCTTCGCCTCCTGTCGCACCCAGAGGAAAACAGTTCCGGGGCCGCCGCCCGCCCGGCGGTTTGCTGTAGAGGAGCCTAGGGCGCGGCGGGCGGGCTTGGGCCCGAGTTCGGCCGAGGGCTAGGCCTCTGGGCCCCGGGGCCAGGCTCCCTGCACCCCGGGGCCAGGCTCCCTGCACCCCGCGAGTTGAGAGGTGTAGCTCTACCGCTGGGGTTTCGGCCGGCCTGCCTCGTAATACGTCAAGTTCTGCACGGGAAGTTTCGCGACGCCGTAGGTCGCATTCCTGGCCTATTATGGTGCACCCCTCAACCGCTTTTTTTTTTCTTTTTTCTTTTTTTTTAAATGAGTCAGCTGTGAAAGAACTCTTCAGTCTTCTGATTGCTTAAATAATTCACTTTAGCCTGAGAAGGTAGAGCTTAAGCTGTGGGCCGCTTTTGAAAATCAAGTGTGATTGTTACTTGTCATTGTGCCGCATCATATAGAGGTAAAAGAACACATTAGCATGTGTCTCTTCTTTCTTGGGGGAAAATAACGTTGACAGTAGTTAGAGTTGAGTACAAGGGAAGACGTGGAGCCTGGAGCGTATCGCAAGAGGGCTGTGATTTCATCCACATCCTGGAACAAATTTCTCCAGGTGAAGGTATCCTCGCCCAATGATTACGAGCTCCTTGTATTCTACGCTGCTTTGATCTTCAAATAATATACAAATTCCAGGAGCTGCAAGCAATTTCATATTTTAGCTATACCTCCTGATAAACTTATCTTTCACATTACTTCGTGAAGTCTTACTTTTTTTAAAAAAATACTTGAGGGCTTCCCTGGTGGCGCAGTGGTTGAGAGTCCGCCTGTCAATGCAGGGGACACGGGTTCGTGCCCCGGTCTGGGAAGATCCCACATGCCGCCGCGGAGCGGCTGGGCCCGTGAGCCATGGCCGCTGAGCCTGCGCGTCCGGAGCCTGTGCTTCGCAACGGGAGAGGCCACAACAGTGAGAGGCCCGCGTACCGAAAAAAAAAAAAAAAAAAGAAAAAGAAATAAAATACTTGAGTATTTGAAACCTTACTCTGTAAATATATTCTGAAACTTTATGTGTTTTTAAAGCATGACAGTACATTTTCATAGTTTCTCTCATTTAATGTACTCTGTATGTTAGAGTGAGGGATTTGTACCTAAGAAGGAATAAATTAATGAAACACTATGGGCTAAAAAGATAGTATGATTTGTGTGTGTGTGTGTTACTTAAAGGGCTGAATAAAATCATTTTCATGATCACCATCTATTGTATTTGAGGGTTAAAAAGCTAGGTAATATATAAACATAGTCTTAATAGGAATTCCTTGGCCTTGTGACCATTTTCTTCTTGAGATGTGACCCTCATTTAGGTTAAGACATATGAAATTGCTGATTTTGAAGTTAAGAATGGTTGAATGTCCTTTCATGTGGTTCAGCCCCAAACATGGTTGATTGGCACCTTTTCTAAATGTGTTAGATGGGTGATTACTTGAAAGCTAACTGCAGTGCAGTGTTCACATAACTGAAGTTCTTCCTCTAGAGTAAAATCTGTTAAGTGGATTTACTGGTTCCCTTGGTTCCCTCCCCCCAAACAAATTTATTTGGATCTAATGTGCTCCAGATTTTTTCTCAATAGTTAGTGGTGAATTATCAACTACTCACTGCAAAATTTTAACACCTTTACCTCTTTCAAGAAAGGATTGCATTTAAGGAGAAAGTTGGCTTATTTTTCTGGCTAGATATACATTTTTGGTGTATGTCATATGCTATGGAAAAAACTTTGAACACTTTCTGGATAAGATGAGAATAAATGACTTTAGAAGCCTATCTTTTTAAGGTAAGTACAAAAACACTTGTCATGGATATAATCTTACAGGGTTGTTCTAACCAATGGTTTCTATTTCTTTATAAATCTAGAGTTAGTGGAAGTGATGTATCACTTGTGTTGTTGAGAAATCATTGCACAACGAAGGACATCTTAACTAATTCAAACTAGTGGGTTATTTTTCCAGTTTATTCCGTACTTGGAGTGTAATGAGCATGTGTGAGAGGAGCCAGGAGATGAGAATGATGAAACTGGTGCTGCCACTTGTGTGACCTTTGTCACTCAGACACTCCAGGCCTTCATTTCTTTGTTCGAAAAGTGAGGTTGGGTAGAAATCTCTCAGACCCTATCAAGTGTTAAATGTGTAATGGTCTTTGATTCCGTGGCTAGCCATAGGGAAGTGAAGAAGTAGCCAGGTGTTTCAGAAACTGGGAGGGATTATAGAGACCTTCTGTTATTTAAGTTGCTGTCCCTCCTGTGCCCCTTATATCCCATCCTTTTTGACCAATTTCATTTGTAAATTGAGAAATGCGTGTTAGTTATAATCGCACTGATTAATTACAGATTTGGTCTCCAAGTGGATTGGTGGTCTCCTTCCATCTATAGCTCTGCATGGAGAGTATTTTGCTCCTTTAACTTTGAAAATATGAAGGCTTAAACGTACATCCTTTAGAGCAGTGGCTCTTAATCATTTTTCGGGTTGTGGGTTCCTGTCAAATCTAATAGAGAAATAGACTCCCTGCCTAGAAAAATGTACACATAGAATTTAGAATACATTTCGAGCTAATAGTTTACCCCTGGCTAAGATCTGCCTTATACTCGAAGTCTGTATTAAAATTTGTTGCTTTACACCCTTGTCTTTCCTGACAAAATACCATTAATGACAAGCAAAGAAAAACCGCTGGCTCAGTGTCTGCCACATTGTCGATGTTTAATAAATAATAGCCAATACCATTGTTATTATTTATGTTATTATGGTGTTATTATTACTACTCAACAAGGTTCTACGTTTTTGTAATAATATTTTCTTTGGTGACTGAGTATAGATACACAACCTTTCTATTCTTAAATTGTGAGTAACTGAAATTTTCAGCGAAATCTTCACCTTTGTTGATTTGAAGTTTAATGCTGGGCAGAGAAGAAAATTCTTATGAGTAGTGTTTTAAGATTCTTATTAGTGCTGTCACCTAATTCATGTTGGAGGTAAGTAAAATGAGTTATAGTCAAGAGTGTTCAATGTTAAGTAGAAAAATCTACAGTATGATTCTTTTTACTTTGCTTTTGTGGTGCTGGTTTTATGATCAACAAAAAGCAAAACCAGGAAACGGAGAGTTAATCCTTCAAATAGAATTAATGACACTGGGTTCGGGAACTACCAAGAGGCCATTATGTTTTGCAACGCTGTGGGCAAAAAAAAAAATCTTAAGCAGCAATAATTATAATCTATAGAAATATTCATACATTTTTTTGCTGCAATTCAGACATGGGATAGCTATTGTCTTGATTTTATTAATGCAAATAGGTCAATAGAATGGTCTCGTCCTACTTAGGAGATAACGTGAGGGGCAGTTGATTAATTTTATAAATCTAGGGCTTTAACAAAAGCTTAGATTTTATTTTTGAAGAGCTAATAACTGACACTTCTGCCTTATGTTAAACAAAATAATTCTGGGAGACAAAATCTTGGGAGTACTCTTACGGTATCTTTTCATTTCATGCCTTCCTTTCTAGTTTCTTTACCATTTCCTAGGTTTAGTCCTTCATGATCTCTTACTATAATTATGGCAGTTGTCTTCTGTTGTTTTTCTTGCATTTTATTGCTGGCATTAAGTTTTCAAGATAAAGAGAAGTTCCTGCCATTCCTTTCGGTGAAAGCTTTTGGTAGCTCCATGTTGCCTCCTTGATTTCATACACCCTACCCAGCATTTGCCAGAGGCTACCTGCTCTGGCCATCATGTGACCTTTCTGCCTTCACTTTTTATTTTATCTCTTTCCACTTGGGTAATAGTCTTAACTACTTGTTTCAAAATGCTAGACTTCACACCTTTCTGTTTTTACCTGAATTCAGAGTGAATTATGCATTAGATTTTTTAAAAAATTAATTTGTTGCATTCCAAAAGACTTACTTTTCCCCTTTTTGTCCATGTCAGTTAAAGTGTCACATGTTTGCTAATATCATTTTCTCAGAAGGACATACCAATACAGTTATAAAAAAGCAAAAACACAGTCGTTTTCACACGTGGGGAATTGAGCAGGGGAGCATAGGGAACATATTTTCTAGTAAAAACTACTTTGCTTTTGGGACTCTTTAATTGCCGTTCCAATAATTTAATTCCTCTGTGTATACCTGCCCTGAGGCTGTGGGAGCGGACTACATCAGCTATTCTTATCTGCATCTAACTAGTGAGGAAATAAAACAATCAGGAAGATTTATCAAGTGATTAGAAAGAAAAGCCAAATTACTAATCTGTCTTTTTAACATCTCTTTTAGCCTGCTCTTGAGGTTCACAGATGATACTTTTGATCCAGAGCTTGCAGCAACAATAGGTAAGCCTATGTTTAAAAATTTAGTAGAAATGCCAAATATTTTCTTGCTTCAGGCTGTTTCATCTAACTCCCCCTACCCATCCTCTCACCACCCCATTGCTTCCATGTCTGTCAAAATCTTATTTGTCTTTCAAGTCTTAACTTTGGTAGTCATTAAATTTCTGAAGCCTTTGTAGATCTCACCAAGCAAAAGAACGTCCTTTTCTGTTGTCTCGTGGTACTTTATTAACACTGCGGATATTACGATTATCTGTATACACATTCCTGTGCTATGGGTTGTCTGTTATTTAGCAGCATACAGTCATTTGAATGTTTATTGCATGCCAGGCACTGTCCTAAGAGGTGGGTTATAATGTTCAATAATGCAGACTTGGTCTCTGTCATAATGGACCTAGCAGTATCACCCAGCAGTAGAGTGTGTTAATTTTGTATTTTTAGCACTCAGTACAGTATCTGGCATGTATTCTGGCAGCATATTTATTGATATTAGTTATTAAAGACTGTTAGAAGCAGTAATACATAACTGCCTTTTAAAAATGAAATTTAGATTGCCTGAAAGTGGTTTGTCACACCAGCTTATTAGGATATATGAGAAGACAGAGCTAAATATTCTGGTGTCACATGTTTAGGGAGTAGGTGACAATGTAAAGGAACAAGAGACAGCTTGCAGCAGTAGGAAGAGCTGAGTCAGAGCAGGATAATAGTCTTGGCTCTGCCTTGAACGTTGTCATCTTGAGCAAGTCATTCACTTCCTTGTCTTCTGTAAGTTGAGGAATTTTGGTGAGAGAATACATTTTTCTTCCAGCTCTAAAATTTCATGATCTGATGAGTAGAATGTAGTAAAGATGATCCTTGTGTTATTATTAGGCAAAATAAAGAGTTTCTATTAACTGGGTTGATTTTTTTTCCTTTTTATTGTTAAATAATTTCATACTTAGAGAAAAGTTTTAAAAATAGTTCAAAGAATTCCTGTATATCTTAATCAAATTCCCCAAATGTTAACATTTATCACATATGCCTTATTCACTGTCTACATACACATACACAGTATTCTTGCTTTTTTCAAATTGTTTGAGAGAAAATTGCAGAGTGTCTTCAATGTCTTTAACCTCTAAGTACTTTAATGTGTATTCTCTAGATGAACATGGATACAGTTCTCCTGTATACAGACAGATTTCATCAGTTGTCCCACTAATGTCTTATATACCAAAGAAAAAGAATTGTTTCTGGTCCAGAATCCAGTCCAGCATCACATATTGAATTTTTTTTTTTTTTGCGGTACTCGGGCCTCTCACTGTTGTGGCCTCTCCTGTTGCGGAGCACAGGCTCCGGACGCGCAGGCCCAGTGGCCATGGCTCATGGGCCCAGCCGCTCCACGGCATGTGGGATCTTCCCAGACTGGGGCACGAACCCGTGTCCTTGCACCGGCAGGCGGACTCTCAACCACTGTGCCACCAGGGAAGCCCACATATTGAATTTTGTTGTCATTTTTCCTTAGTCTCTTAATCTGAACAGTTCTTCACTCTTTCTATGTCTTTCATGGCCTTGACATTTTTGAAGAGCACATACAGGCCAGTTATTGTAGAATATCCTTCAATTGCATTTGTCTGTGTGTCTTCATGGTTAGATTCAGGTTATGCATTTTGGTCAGGAATTCCTCAGAAGTGCTTGTCAGAGCATGGTGTATATTTGTGCCATTACTGTGATGGGACTTGGTTCCTTAAGATGATGTACACCAAGTCTCTCCACTGTAAACTGTCATCCTGTCATTCCAACTATGGTGGTTGTCCAGCTGTGGTTTTTCAAATTCCATCCTTCCATCTCCATTTCTTATTTAGAATTCTGTAAAGAAGAGTTCTTTGTTTCTTTCTATCAGTATGAGGTCACAGTGCCTCTAAATGTTTAATAAATTATATCAGGCATTACTTAGCTTTTGAATGACATGTTAACATTGACAGATTTACTGTTATGTGTGTAAAAGGGAATCATTTAAAACACTAGTAATTCAAAATCTATTTAATTTGGTTTTGGTATATCATTTGCTCCTTTAAAAAATCAGTTATTAATAAAACTTGATTTTGTTCAGAACATACCTGTTATTGGATAAGCGAGGAGTAGAAGAATAATAACTGGCAGGAAAATAAACTTGCCTAGAGTTAAAATTTTCCTAAGGGAGTGATCTTATATATACTATAAATTATCTGTCTTCATTTCAAACCCAAATGTAACTGGGGACTTGCAGATTGACAGATTATTCGTTGTCTTTATTACTAAAAAGGCTTTGCTTTAAAAGCAAATACTAAGATTGTAGCATACTGATGAGAATATACATAATTTGTTCCCCCGATGGGCCTTGGGTCTTGAAAAGTATCTTTTACATTTCGGCATCAGATAACTTTCTGCCCTAGGTTATAACCAATATACATGAGTTTTTGAAATAAAAATAATTAGCCCAGTTGTTAATGGCCATATGAAAATTAGTATTTACCTCCCAGTATAATAGGAAAGCACACCTTTATCTTTCAGTAATACAGTGAGACACTCAAGTTCCTGTCTTGTATGAAATACTCTATTAAGGTAGTTATCGGATTTGTGGCTTGAAGATGGTACTGTAGAGTTGGCATTTTCATCTTCTGCTTTCTGGCAATTGACTAATAACAAAGAGAGGGAGAAACCAAAACCCCAACCCCGTAGACCACTATACTAGAAGGCAGCTAAAACACCAAGCCACAAAATAGGTGGAATGGCTGCCAAGAGCAGTGGGGACCAGACAGGCCGCCTGTAGGAGAAAGTAGGCGATGCCAGGGCTGCAGAGCTCAGAGCCAGCAAGAGGTGCTTCATGAGGTTGAGAGGCCCACTGTGAGGTGCAAAACATATATCCCTTGTTTGCAAAAGCAAAATGGCTTCTTAAGCTAATGGCAGGAGTTGCCCTGCATCTGGTTTGGTTTTAAGAAGTTGGGAAGGTGAAGCCAAACAAGGAGTCATACAAACCAGCCATTTTTGCATTTTGTCTGTCTCTGTAGCAGTAGGGGAGGAGATAGATGCCTTTCAAAAACCTCTAGGTTGCCTATCTCCTCTGAATGTTGAGAAATAAAAAACTAACTGATTCTCATGTAAAACCCTGAATCAAGACAAAATTTTTCCAGTGCAGAACTGATCCACTATGGCTTTCTGCATGAACCTCCTGCAAATAGCTTGTCCAGGAAAACCTCACCACTTTCAACTATGACTTAGTAAAAAAGAATCCAGCTCAAGGCCACTACCACCATTCAAGAATCGAAAAGGAAGAAAGGAATGGAAAAACAAAGGACAGTTGAAGAATCCTCACCAGAAAAAAATATTGCTGTAAAGAAGATGAAAATAATGACCAAACATTTTGCCATGAATTTAAAAGGCTTAATGGAAATATTTATCAGTGAGAGCACAAAACAGTGATATAAGAGGTCGGGGAAGAGATAGTTCGACTACATGAGCAAATGCAGTGTGAGCTGATTGAGTGGAAAGAAAGAAAAGATAAGAAAATAAAATCATCACTGAAATGAAGGTGAGATTGGAAGGATCACAAGGGACAGTAGAAACTGGGAAACACAATAAAGAACACAGAAGCTAGGAATGGAAAAGTGGGTAGAATTTACCAAAATGAATAAGAATATTAAAACAAATTAGAGTGAGAAAATGATAGATATGGAAATCAGAAAAGGAGATTTTACATAGTATGTTTGAGTCTTAAAAGAAGAAACATAATGAAACACAACCAATATTTAATGATATATAATCCGAGGTAACGTATCTGACATAAAAATAAACACACAGACAAAATTGTAAGAATATTTTTTTTTTGTAAGAATATTTTGACCAGGTTTTTGTTTGTTACATGGGAATATTTGGGGGGGAAATAATAAGCATTAGATTTCTCTTTTTGCTATGGTCAGGCCATAAGATGGTGCTTAATCAGGTCTTTACCTGAGGTATTTAATCAACTGCATAGATACAATTGGTTGAAATTTAAGCATGGATATAGAAAGTTACATTAACTTTATATAGTATGATTAAATAGGCAAAATTTGCTTTTTTTTTTTTTTAATTTACCCTATTTTAGGTAACCTTTGAATACAAAAAGAGCACTTTAAGTAAAAATTTTCAAATACAAAAATTAGAAAACTTAAAAACTGGCTCTCTACTTAAGACAGGCTCACAAACTATTTCTTAATCTTTAAGACTTATAATTGTTACAATATGTGAAAGTGTTTTTTGAGGGTTGATACATTTCAACTAAAGTTAGACAAATTTTGCTTGTTGTTAGTTGACTTTAGATCAGTGATTCTTATCACTCCCTTGGTAAGTTTTTAGAAATACCCATGACTGTTTGGCTTCTAAGGGCAGGTGTCAGACAGATTTCATACACAAGTTACCTTATAGTTTGGGCTTACTTAACAGAAAGATAATTTAATTAAAATGCAAAGTAGTTTATATATCTTGTTTAACGTTTAATGTTTATAATCTTGTTAATACTTGGGAATATGAGATAATTCAGAAAGTAAAATAGAACTATTCTATTTCATAATATTTCATTCAATTAAACATGTTAAAGTAATAAAAATGGCTCTGACATTTCTTTATTTAGAATAATGACAAATGGTCTTGATCATATATAGATTGTTTCTTTCTTCCATTCTACTTAGAGGCTTTATTAGGAAAGGTTGTGATGTTTTTTATATGCCTTTTCAGCACTGACTAATGGTTGATAGACCTTTTTATACTGAAATGTCCTTGCTTTCCTAGATAAGCCTTCACTCATTTTGTTTGATGTATTTCTGGATTCTGTTGACTAATTTAGAATTTTTACATCTATTTTTATATGTAAGATGGACTCTCATTTTTTGTATTTTTAAAAAATCAGAATTTGGTATTAAAGTTGTATTAGTTTATACAATGAAGGAGCTTTCCATCTTTTTAAATTGTCCTTACTTGGTTAAATACTACTGGAATTATCTGTTCTA